AACTCTCGCGGTACTGCTCGCACATACTTTGAGGTATCCTCGTAATCACTCATATTAACACCTTTCTGCATTCTGTACCTTTAAAAACCAGATGGACTACCAAATATTACCATGGGATGACTCTTAAAACAGGCTACCCAGCAGACTTCAAAGAAATATTTTAATTTCAAGTTCTGTGCCATAATTATATGGTATCCATAATTTATTAATACCAGTACGTCCACATTCAAATAAACCTTGGCTACAAATCAGTATATACTTCATATATCTTTATAATATCATTAAAATAACTTCATATTGTGTGTACACACTAGGATAAATATTTTTACAAAATATGATTTCATAACTTACTTTTTATTTTCATTAGTTTTGACACCAACCACTTTTGTCACCAATATACCTGTGTTTCCAACAATAGAGATGCCTGGTTCCAATATCAGGCAGATATTCTTGGATTTGATGCCCTCAGCGATAGAACTTATAAAATCTTTTGTTTCTGGTAAAATTTCATCACTCTAAAATTAAGAATAATTATATGTAAATTAGTGAATATGTGTATTTGTTCAAGTCAGTATTGACTGTAGATTTGATTGGTCGATTAATTGGTGGTATTTTCAATCAACCAATCAAATTTACAGGTCAATAGCCGACAGTGATGAGATATTACTAGCATCATACCTAGGCATAGTTGATGAATTTTCAATCAACCAATCAGATTTACAGTCCATAGCTGACAGTGATGAGATATTACTAGTTTCATACCTAGGCATAGTTCATGCATTTTCATTCAACCAATCAATGGAGTGGTGAAGTATTCAGTTGAATGTTGCATGCTTATTCTGACACAAGAAACACCATACACATACATTACACAACCCTTACCTGTGGTATGTGACGTTTATAGTTCAGTCCGATTCCCTCACCCATATTGAGATAACGGATATCAAATCCCATCTCACGTACTTTGTCAACCCAAAAAAGCATTGTATCCAATGATTCTCTGTAAAGCAATATAAACGATACTGTATTTTAAATAAAATTAATAGTTTTAAATTCACAGGTTTGGGAAGGAAACAATACATTTAGTCAACTCACTCCAGGTTTAATTTTAGTACCGGTAGATTTGATGTTATACCAATATTCACTATGACTTTTGATAAGGAAGCTATTATGAAATTGGGTTCTGCAAAGTTGGTTCTGAGGTTCTGAAAAGTATACACTACCGATCATGTACATTGGTAAAACTTGTGAATATGAAATCAATAATTCATGAATCTGAATCTAACCGAATCAATTTATTCTTAGCATGCTCAGTTGCTCTGTCAGTGCAGTAGGGAGAGGTAATTTCATTTAAATTCACTGG